GACCTCAAGTGGAAAAGCTGTCACGTCTACCTCGATGATGCCGTTGTGCTTTCAGAAACGTTTGACGAGCATCGTCGTCGCCTTCAGAATGTGCTCGAAGCCATTAGATCGGCCGATCTCACACTCAAGCCTGAACAATGTCATTTCGGCTGCGAAAAAACTAAAGTTCTTTAGTCATGTCGTGAGCGCCGATGTTCAGCCTTATCCTGACAAGACTGCTGCCATCGCTGCTTTCCCAGCTCAAACTGACAAGAAAAGTCTTTGACGATTTCTTGGTCTGTGCGCGCATTACCGGCGCTTTATTGAAAGTTTCTCCAACATTGCGGAGCCACTATTACGCCTCACGCATGATGACACACCATTTGTCTGGGCTGATGAACAGCAGACTGTCTTTGCGGAACTATAGCACCAGTCCTCTTCACCTCCCGTGCTTGGCCATTTCGATGAAGATGCTCACACCGAAGTATGCATTGGTACCAGCAATATTGGTCTTGCAGCTATTTTGGTACAGACTAGACAGGATTGAACGGGTAATTGCCTATGCAAGCCGCACACTGTCTTGCGCAGAATATAACTATTCCACATCACAGAAAGAACGTCTTGCGGTAATTTGGGCAATTACTAAGTTTAGGCCATATCTCTGTAAAAGACCATTTAAAGTGGTGACTGATCATCATGCTTTGTGCTGGTTGAGCAGTCGAGACTCTTCAGGACAATTAGCACGATGGAGTCTGCGCCTACAGGAAATTTATGTCATTATCGTCTACAAGTCAGGCAAAAAGCACAATGATGTCGACACGCTATCTCGAGCACTTCTTCAATACGCCAGTACAAGCGCAGAAGAGAGCGGCGCCTTTGTGGCAACTCTCAGTGGGCTGGATCTGATGTCTCATCAACCAAATGACGCCGATCTAAGACCGATTATAGATCACTTAGAAGGTGGCACCACACTCATTCCTCGACCATTGTTGCAAACGATGCCATCTTTTTTGCCTACGAAATGGCGTCTTATAAAAAAGGAACACCGGTGCTGGTGAAAGATCTCATCTTCTGGTCGTGCATGAAGCCCTCCCCGATGACGTCTTATTAGCTTGCCATGACGAGCCCACATCCGGCCATCTGGGCTACTCGATAACTCTGTATCGGGTGCCCAGATACAGAGTTCATCATCATCATCAGCCTGACTACGTCCACTGCAGGACAAAGGCCTCTCCCATGTTCCGCCAGTTAACCCGGTCCTGTGCTTGCTGCTGCGAATTTATACCTGCAAACTTCTTTGTCTCATCTGCCCACCTAACCTTCTGTCTCCCCCTAACCCGCTTCCCTTCTCTGGGAATCCAGCTAGCTACCCTTAATGACCAGCGTATATCTTGTCTACGCGCTACATGCCCGGCCCATGTTCATTTCCTCTTCTTTATTTCAACTATGATATCCTTAACCCCCGTTTGTCCCCTAATCCACTCTGCTCTCTTCTTGTCTCTCAAGGTTACACCTACCATTTTTCTTTCCATTGCTCGCTGCGTCGTCTTCAATTTAAGCTGCACCCTTTTTGGCTGGAGACCAGGCAGTAGGAGATTATGGCATCGGTACTAGAAACGCCAGAGGAGAGCTACTGGTAGAATTTGCATAACGCAATAATCTACGAATTTTGAATACCTTCTACCGAAAACGAGAAAACTGCAAGTGGACATGGAGGAGCCCTAATGACGAAAATAAGAACGAAATAGACTTTATAATGAGTGCACACCCAGGAATCGTGCAGGATGTGGAAGTGGTTGGCAAGGTACGATGCAGTGACCACAGAATGGTACAGTCTCGAATTTGCCTAGACTTGAAGAAGGACTGACAAAAACTGATACGCAAGAAGCCAATCAATGAGCTAGCACTGAGAGGGAAAGTACAGGAATTCAGAGTGTCGCTTCAGAACTGGTACTCGGCTCTTTGTGAGGAAACCAACCTTAGCGTAGATACAATGAATGATAATCTGATGAGTATCATTACGGAGAATGCAGTGGAAGTTGGAGGCAGGGTAGTTAGACAGGGCACTGGCAAGTTTTCCCAGGAAACGAAGAATCTAATTAAGAAGCGTTAAATCATGAAAGTCTCAAGTACAACAGACAAAATAAACTGGCAGAGCTTTCGAAGTTGATTAATAGGCGTAAGGTATGCGATGTAAGAAGGTATAACATGGAGAGAATTGAACACGCTCTGAAAAACGGAAGTGTCAAAGCAGTGAAGAGGAAACTTGGGATAGGCAAAAGTCGGATGTATGCACTAAGGGACAAAGAAGGCAAAATAACTACCAATACGGATAGGATAGTCAAAATAGCAGAGGAGTTTTACAGAGATCTGTACAGTAGCCGGGACAACCACGACCTTAATACTATAAGAACTAGCAGTAACCCAGATGACACCCCACCAGTAATGATAGAAGAAGTCAGAAAAGCTTTGGAGAGCATGCAAAGAGGCCAAGCTGCTGGTGAGGATCAGGTAACATCAGATCGGCTGAAAGATGGAGGAGAGTTTGTGATAAGAAAACTAGCCACCCTGTTTACGAGGCGTCTCCCGGTGGGAAGAGTACCAAAGTCTTGGAAGAACGCTAACATCATCTTAATACATAAGAAAGGAGATGACAAGGACTTAAAGAATTACCGGCCGATCAGCTTGCTATTGTAGTATACAAGCTATTTACAAAGGTAATTGCTAACAGAGTAAAGAAAACATTAGAATTCAATCAGCCAAAGGAACAAGCAGGATTTCGAACAGGCTACTCAACAATTGATCACATTCATACAGAGTTACTACTAGTCTAAAATTTCTGCCTGCGTCTACGTCAAGGGATGCCGTGAATGACAGCATCACAAGACACCACCATTAAAGTCATGCAGGCAATCTATAACCAGTCAGTCCACCACGTACACCGTTTGATCAAGTGGGAATGGACCTCCTGGGGCCGTTTTCTTTGTCTTCTTCCGTAAACAAATAGATTATTGTCGCAACCGATTACTTGACGCGTTACACTGAGACGAAGGCATTGCCACAAGGGACCGCACCTGAAGTTGAAAGTTTTTTTTATGCACCAAATTGTGCTACGGCATGGCGCCCTGTCATATGTCATCACTGATCGAGGGACATCATTCACAGCGAAGCTCTTGGATGATATCTTCAGGTTGAGTTACACAACCCATCGAAAGACCACTGCATATCACCCTCAGAGTAATGGCTTAACAGAATGGCTAAACAAAACGCTAGCTGACATAATCTCTATGTACGTGGATGTGCAGCCCAAAACATGGTGCGACTTCCTGCCGTACGTAACATTTGCATACAACACTGCAACGCAGGAAACTACACGCTTCGCACTATTTCGGCTCGTTTATGGTTGAGATGCCAGAACTATGCTAGACGCCATGATTTCGTATGACGACATCGACAAGCTCGACCTATTAGCCCTCGACATCAATGAGTACATTCAGCACGCCGAGGAAGCACATCAACTGGCCCATGTGCACATCAGAACTCAACAGTGTCCAGATGCACGGGCGTACAACATCCACCATCGAGAAGTAACAACATCCACCATCGAGTAATTATACACCTGGTGACCAATTTTGGGTTTGGACACCTATTAGTCGGCGAGGTTGCATGGAGAAACTCTTGAGGAAGTACTTTGGACCTTACCAAGTACTCAGACGTATGAGCGACATGAACTACAAAGTAGTTTCAGACTGGAGGCTCACCGTCATCTCGGAGCAGGTTACCACGCCCAAAGGCTGTACACGTCGTCCGCATAAAGCCACACTTTACGGGGTGATGCAATTTTCTTCGTGTGCCAGTGAACTCTTCATGTGAACAGTGAATGTCGTTTATTTCTGATTGCCGGGCCCAGAACGCATTTTCTCTCGCGTGCTAGTTTGTTTATTTTGCATACTTCGACCCACTGTTAAGCACACTTTTTTTGAGCATCGGGTTGATGCTCTCTTGAGAGGAGGAGTAATGCCACCTGGTGTTTGTGCCAGTGAACAGTGAGTCAGTTCTGTGCCAGTGAACAAAGAAGAGGAAGATGAGCAGCAAAAGCCAGCCGGAGGCGTCCTTCTTTGTGTCCGAGATTTTGACAGTCGCGTCTCCTTGTACGTTTCTTCGAGCTCCTAGCACGTGACAATATCTCTCATAGCTTCACTTCTGCTTTTTACTTGCCCTCCTCCAACTGATGAGGCTGCAAAACATAGCTGCTGTCAGTGATGTTGTCAGCAACTGGCGGGCTTGTACGGGAGCTAGGCCTACACCAGTGACTCGACTACTGCCGTTGACAGCCGCAGGTTCGTTATCCTAGTTGTCCTGAGCCATAGCGGGGCTCTTTCTGAAATTTATGGTGAACGAACGATTGCCACAGCCGCTTCATGAATTAGTGAGGTGCGGAGCTTTCCTGCAGCAAGAAGTTGACAGCACCATGACAAAATGGCGCTTACCGTGTGCGTCACGATGGTGAAGCAGATGCCGGAAACGCCACTTGGCTTATCGGATGCCTAGGTTTTGTCATGTGCCCCAAGCAGTCAATAGAATGGTGTTTCTCGATGACGTGTTTTTGCTGAAAAACCAATGAGCAAGGCAAAGCAATGGTGGGGGGAAATTGAAGATGAAGAACGACCCTTTTAAACTACACCAAGAAGACCACGACAGCTCATGTGTACCGGCAACAGTTTGGCGCAGAAAAAATGCGATTTTAGCATCTATTTGGGCTCACATTCGTCTCACAGGGGTGTTATAACTTGATTTTGTGCCAGAAATAATGACCCGAGAAGCTACAAACTTCTGAGATAAGTGCATAAATAGGTACAGACTTCGAAAATGTCAGCTTCAAAAAGCCAATTTTTTTGCTATTTTCGGCCTTCTAAGACCCGTGTCCCCCCTTAACCCTAGCCATATGTGAGCACCCTTTATTGTTTCTCCTACTGAGGGAGAAACATTCTCCTAATGAGAGAGATTCATTGCTTGTGCAGCACATAATCAAGTTCCACCGTACGGCCAAGGCCAACAAGAAGCAAGTTCTGGTGCCACGTGGCATGGTCAAGTCTTTGCTCTACCAAATTTTGGATGGAATCCACTACCTGCACTCCAACTGGGTCCTGCACAGGGATTTGGTATGTCGCATTACCTGGTGCAACATTTAAAACATCGAATGTCAAAGCCCTGGGCAGTTTGTGTTTAAAGTGCTCACTTGGCTGCATTTTGCAGAAGCCAGCCAACATACTTGTAATGGGTGAAGGTCCAGAGCGAGGCAGAGTGAAGATTGGTAAGTGGATAACCTGATATGGGAAAAACACTGTCGAAATAATTCCTTCAGCATTAGCATAGCAGCTGCCTGTAGAGTGCAGGTAGCTAATTGATTAATAGCTTTTGTAAAGAATAATGCCACGTTGAATAGGTCTTTAAAGGGAGAATACTTATGATGACATCAACTCTTTCAGCGGACATGGGCTTTGCACGGCTTTTCAACTCGCCCCTGAAACCACTGGCCGACCTGGATCCAGTAGTGGTGACATTCTGGTACAGGGCACCAGAGCTTCTCCTCGGGGCCCGACACTACACCAAGGCCATTGGTGAGCTTTGTTTTTAGGGGCGAAGCTCTTCATGGCGTGGCTTGTGCGTTCCCGTTGTGGGTAACCGCCCCTCGATAATTCTTGAACTATCCATAGAGGGCGGTACTTGTACTATGCGCTGAATAATGCAAATGGTACTGTAACTAGAGGGTGTTACTTGTAGAAAAGAAGGATTGATGTCACACATATGGAAGGAGAGAGAGAGAGAGAGACGATCGCGTGACCACAATCGCATGTTCCTCGGCAGCGCTGTACGCCAGGGGGCACTCCTATAGTACAATAACAGCGCCGTCTTGGCGCGCACGCGCATTGAGAGACTCGGCGACAGAGGATAGGATGAGGCTGCTGAGCAGCGTGCACGCAGGGCGATGGTGGCTCGTGCTCGAAGAAGGGACCCCGACATAGCAGGCGCCTGAGGCAATAGCGCGCCGCGAGGGCTCTGCAGTACGACAACAAGAGGCCGAAGCGGCAGCGGCGTGCGAACCCAGCTTCGCCCCACTCTCCATCATTCACCCCGTGGATATGCTGTCATTTTTTTTATTACCTTAACTCTTTCAGAACTGTGCCCATGAAAATGTTAACACCCAACTTGAACAATTTTACACTTCATACAAACTGAGATTCAACAAGCGCACCATAGAAAACAATTGGAAGTTATTAGTCAAAAAACTCAGCCAACTAACTGATGCATATATACCAAGCATAAAAATTCAAAACAAAACATCTGACCCTTGGTTTAACAACGTGATTAAAAAACTGATAAACGGGAAAAAACGCCTGTTCAGACGTGCCAAAAAACAGAACCAACTGTCCTTATGGAAAGAATATTGCCACGTTCCATTTCCCAAGTTTTCGTTATCGTCCCAAAACACCACACGATTCTCAGCGCAAACCGCGCCTACAGTTTTCCAGAAGGTTCCGGACTGTAGTAGATCATTTCGAGAAGATCACGCCCACTGTGCGAACGGTACAGATTGTTCTGGAACATACGCCACCGCCAGCGATAACGCTAGAACATTCGATGGCAAGAGTATAAATGCCGACGCGCTTCGCCACTTGTCAGTAGTTGTTGATCGAAGGCCGACGTTCTGTTCGCCGCTATCAGTCCGAGACTGCTATCTGTGCGAGACTGCTGCTGTAATTGGACTTTCCTTTTACCGGGCACAGGTTCGCCCAAATAAACAGTTAAATCCCAACACGAAGTCTCCTGTCTTCGGCCACGTCACGACCCCGTGACATCTGGTGGAGGTGCTGCTTCGTTCATGTACCGGACGCCCCCGTCAAGCCGTGAACCTAGCCCACGTCGCGAAGAAGATACCGACGCAAACCAGGAGCAGCGAACAAGCCGCCGACAGCAAGGGCTACCACCGGAGTACGGGCTTCTGCAAGACAAGGCGCGGAAGACCAAGGCCATGACCGCGACTGCAGCGACAATGACAACCGCAGCGTCCCAGCCCACGATGGTCATGCATCAACCCAGGGAACCACCAATTTTCCATGTGTCATCGTTCGAAGACCCGGAGTCCTGGCTAGAAACATACGACCGTGTGGCCGCCCTCAACCACTGGGACCATGACGAAAAGCTGCGTCGTGTGTTCTTCTATTTGGAAGACACCGCAAGGACCTGGCACGAAAATCGGGAGTCCACGCTCCGAACGTGGGATGTTTTCTGCGGCGCATTCCTCCAAACGTTCGCGAGCGTCGCTCGCAAAGAGAGGGCCGCTGCTTTATTAGAGACCCGGGTTCAGCTACCAAATGAAAATGTCGCCATTTTCACAGAAGAAATGACCCGACTATTCCGTCACGCTGACCCAGACATGCCTGAGGAGAAAAAAGTTCGTTTCCTCATGCGAGGGGTCAAACAGGAGCTCTTTGCGGGACTGATGAGAAACCCACCGAAAACCGTCCAAGAATTTGTAGCCGAAGCGACCACCATCGAAAAAACCCTGGACATGCGCACCAGACAGTATAATCGTCGCCTGACTCCAGAATGCGCTGCTGGCTCAAGCCGGTGACTCCGAAAACCTGCGTGAAACGATCCGAGCGATCGTGCGGGAAGAGCTGCGCAAACTGTTGCCTTCGGCGCAACCTCAAGTGGATTCGATCGCCGACATTGGGCGAGAAGAAGTTAGGCAATCGCTTCGAATTCCCCAAACACCACTGCCCGAGCCAGAAACTATGAGCTACGCCGCTGCAGTGCGCCACAACGCTCCTCCCCGTCCACGCCGAAACGCCGCCCCGTCGCACTTCCGTCGCCAGACACCACCGCCGCCACCACCCCCACCGACGACCTACCATTCGCCAGCGGGCCAGCGCAGTGCGCCGAGGAAAACCGACGTCTGGCGCACCCCTGACCACCGCCCACTGTGCTACCACTGCGGCGAGGCCGGGCACACTTACCGCCGTTGCCAGTACCGACAGATGGGACTGCGTGGCTTCGCCGTCGATGCACCACGTCCGCAGCCAGGGGAACGGCCACGTGACATCGCTGACTACCTGACAGAAACTCAATGGAGACCACGAAGTCCTTTCCCGTTCGCCGTCGCCCAGCCGCCGCATGTCACCGCACCCCGGCAGTACTCCGGCCCAACGCGGGGCCGGTCTCCTAGCCCGTATCCGGGAAACTAAGGGCAGCAACCGGTGGAGGTGTGGTTGCTGTGCGACGAACTACCGAAGATCCTCCTCCGACGACGACGCCGCGACGGAGCTTTCCGAACACAACGCTAACCAGGCAAAGCCCTGACGGCGAAAGCTCACTTACCGAAGGTGGCCTGACGACGCAACATGGAAGCAGCGGAACAAGCCGACGCAGCCGTGACCCGAAGCCACGCCCAAACTGTAATGCGAGACGGCGAACTAGCGACCTCAACGTTCTTATCGACGGCCACAGTGTGACTGCTCTCGTCGATACTGGAGCTGACTATTCTGTCATCAGTGGGTCGTTCGCCGCGAAGTTAAAGAAAGTTAGGACAGCTTGGAAAGGCCCTGAAATCCGCACAGCTGGAGGTCATCTCGTAACGCCTGCAGGAATCTGCACAGCGAGAGTCACCATTAACGGCCGTATTTATCCTACAGACTTCGTAGTCCTACAGCGTTGCTCGAGAGATGTCATCCTTGGCATGGACTTCTTATGCCTCCATGGTGCTGTCATCAACCTAAAAACAAAGTCGATAACGTTATCCACAGAAGAAGCACTACTGCCGCGCACACCGTCAGGACACCATGCCTTGAATGTGCTGGAAGAACAAGTTACCATTCCGCCTCGCTCAAGCGTCATTATTTCAGTCGGTGCTCCTAAATCACCTGACTTGGAAGGCGTCGTTGAAGGCAGTCAGCATCTGTTGGTCACCCGAAATATTTGCATCGCAAGAGGAATTGCAGAGCTGCGGGGAGGCAAAGCAACGGTTATGCTCACGAATTTCAGCAATGAGTACAAACATGTGAACAAAGGAACAACGGTCGCATACATCGAAGAAATTGTCGAAGCCACCAGTGCTTTCGCCCTCGCCGATTCTGCGGAACTTGCTCAGAGGAACCAAGCCCCTCCCATAGCTTTCGACGTCAATCCCAGACTTACGAACGATAAGCAAGCACAGCTCAAGGCCCTGCTCCTGCAATACGAAGATTGCTTTTCGTCGTCATCGAAAATTCGGCAGACCCCAATCACGAAACATCGCATCATAACCGAAGAAAATGCCAGACCACTCCGTCAGAGTCCGTACAGGGTTTCGACGCGAGAACGTGAGGCCATGAAGAGACAAGTTGATGAAATGCTGCGGGATGACATTATCCAGCCGTCCAAGAGCCCATGGGCGTCCCCCGTGGTGTTAGTGAAGAAAAAGGATGGGACCCTACGTTTCTGCGTTGATTATCGCCGCCTGAACAAAATCACAAGAAAGGACGTGTATCCTCTCCCACGAATAGACGACGCACTTGATCGGCTCCATAACGTCAAGTACTTTTCGTCAATGGACCTCAAGACTGGCTATTGGCAAATCGAAGTCGACGAAAGAGACCGAGAGAAGACGGCGTTTATAACACCAGACGGCCTCTTCGAGTTTAAGGTGATGCCCTTCGGCCTTTGCTCAGCGCCTGCAACTTTTCAACGCGTTATGGATACAGTACTGGCAGGATTGAAGTGGCAGACTTGCCTTGTGTACTTGGACAACGTCGTCGTGTTTTTCTCGAGTTTCGACGAGCATCTTCGGCGCCTTGAAGCTGTACTTCAAGCCATCAAGACGTCCGGACTCACACTGAAGCCAGAAAAGTGCAGATTTGCGTATGAGGAGCTCTTGTTTCTGGGGCACGTTATCAGCAAGTCTGGAGTTCGTCTCGATCCGCGGAAAACAGCCGCCATCGCCAACTTCCCACCGCCTACTGACAAGAAGGCCGTACGCCGATTTCTGGGCCTGTGCGCCTATTATAGGCGGTTCGTGAAAAACTTCGCCCGCATCGCCAATCCTCTCATTAACCTTACCAAGGCCGACGTGGAATTCATGTGGGAAACGCCACAGGAACACGCTTTCCAGGATCTTAAACATCGCCTCCAGACGCCTCCGTTACTTGCCCATTTCGACGAATTCGCCGAGACAGAAATACATACTGACGCAAGCAGCGTAGGTCTTGGCGCCATTCTTGTGCAGAGGGCTGACGGACTTGAAAGGGTTATTGGTTACGCCAGCCGATCGCTATCCAAAGCAGAAGCAAATTATTCCACAACAGAAAAGGAGTGCCTCGCCATCATCTGGGCTACGTCGAAATTTCGCCCCTACCTCTACGGCAGGCCCTTTAAAGTTGTGAGCGACCACCACGCCTTGTGTTGGCTAGCCACCTTGAAGGACCCTTCAGGTCGCCTCGCACGATGGAGCCTGAGACTTCAAGAATATGACATTACTGTCATTTACAAGTCCGGCAAAAAACACTCCGACGCCGACTGTCTCTCTCGTGCGCCTGTCGACCAACCGCTACCTGACGACCCGGATGACGACTACTTCTTGGGA